GTGTTCTCGTGAAGAAAGACAGTGTTCAAACTTAAAAGCAAAATGCCAAATGATGTTGAAGAAAATAAAGCAGAGTCTTAGTATGGAAAGAAGCTTGATAGGTAAATGGCAAGCAGAGACCACACCTACAAAATCAGTGAAGGAACGTTCATGACAGAGAAAATGATAGAGGTGCCAGCCAAGACCAAGAATCAGGCTGTTCAAGGCAGGCAGAGCACAGCTTACAGACAAAATAAAGAGATGACCAGCATGCTCCATTGCATTGGTGAGGCTCCAATTCCAGCCTCACGTGACAAATGGGTGAACTGTACAGTGTCTGTGCAGAATGCACAGCTGTCATTGCTATTATGATCTGTCATCATTATGATGACAGAAACAACAGAATAGACATTCTTTTATAAAAAACAGGAGCCTGATCTGAATGACCTGGAAAAGCTTGGAAGTATAGCTGTGGTTAGTTTGACAGTTAACAGATTAATTATATTATCAGCTCAGAGTCGATAGTTGATCTTACACTAAAACCCCAAAGGGGAAAGGTGAGAAAAAGGCGACTTGAGACAGGCCAGCTTCTTGTCAGCACTTGTCCCTGAGAAAACACTCTGTGCCACTTGCATGTGATCGGGTTAAGTGCTGTTTGCTGTGAACTGGGCTGTTTGGAGGGCCTTTCTTCTGGGTGTTTATATCACAAGCACATTCCGGTGGCACCGGCTCAAGCTTGTTATTTCTACCTTGTAGCTCACATGGTTTTGCCATAGTCTTGATGTGCATAAATATGGTTGTTTTTGTAGTTTTCTTACAGGTTCTAGTTATAGATCATGCAAATGGTTAGAGATCAGTTTGTCTTTTCAGATATAGAGCAAAATCAAATTCTTAATCACTAGAGCTTAGCAAAGTTACCTTGCAAGTTCAATGTGCCTTTCCAGGAGTAAAAACAAAAGCAAAATGAAAGAAACAAATAACTTCCCCTCAAACCAACAAGAGCTTAATCAAAGCAATAAATTAAAAATAAAAAACAGAAATCATGAACACAGAACAAGACTTTTGGACCCAAGAGAAAACAGCACAGAGAGAATACTGGAACTGGGCTTGCTCCTCTTCTCTTTTTCAAGCATTTCTTAGTTACCTTTTTTCTGCCCAAGGATATTTGCAGTAGCTTTGATAAAAGAAAGGGCAATGTACTACAATATACAACTTTAATTCATAGTAAATGGTGGAAAGAGAAAGATAATTGAGACCATATAATGGCAAAGATAAAAGATCTGTCAATAAATTCATAGAAACACTGTATCTCTTAAGTTAATCAGAGAGGTTTCCAGTCTTGAAATCTCCTTTTAATATTCTGAGAGAAGGAAGACTTTGAGGCAGAGGGATTCCCTTCTAAGGGATTTCCAGTACTCTTTTGTTTGCTTTTAGCAAAAATCTGTCTTAAAAGCTGGGTGTGGGGGCACACGCCTTTAGTCCTAGCACTCAGGAGGCAGGAGGCAGGCGGATTTCTGTGAGTTCAAGGCCAGCCTGGTCTATAGAGCAAGTTTCAGGCCAGCTGGGGCTACAGGGAGACCCCTTCTCAAAAAGACCAAAAAAAAAAAAAAAAATCTGTCTTAAGAAAGAAAGTCAACCTGTTTTTCTTTCTTTAACATAAAAAGTTTTTTTAAAAGATTTATTTTTACTTTTCACTTACATACATGCATGTCTATATCAGTATATGCTGAGTGTGCTGGTGGATGAGTCTCCTGCAGTGAGTGTTTCAAACCGAACCTGGGTCCTTTGAAAGAGCAGCAAGCACTCTTAACCACTGAGCCATTTGTTCAGCCCTCCCTGGCCCCCAAATATTTACTTTAAAGACAAACTTTGAAGCAGTAAATTTTGTTGGTAAATTGTAGAATAGGAAGATATGTTGCTTACTTGTAATAACCTTCTCCCTGAGTTGTACAGTAAAGTGTTGGATCTGAGCTTCTGAAAACTCAGTGTGTATGTGAAGCATCTGGGATCTTTCTGGGATCTTACTACAATGCAGATTTTGATGTAGAAGTTCTGGAGTGAGGCCCAAGATTCTGCATTGATAACAAGTTCCCAGTAAATGCTGGTACTGTTATCTGTATATCACCATTGGAATGTTAAGGAGAGAGAGCTTTAAAATTCAGAGGCCAAAACCATAGAGATTTCAATTCATTGTATCTAATGTGGGGTCCAGGAATCTGCCTTTTATTAGATTCAGTCTGATTCAAGTGCAAGTATTCTGTAGATCAGAGTTTGGTCTATGAAGGCAATGTCAGTTCTGATTATGCACTGTAATCTCATTAAATCTTTGTAGGCACAATTCCCGGTCATCTGTACAGTCATCAAATCCTTCTAACATACTGAAACTATTCTAGGAACTTATGAAAAATCATCATTGTGGGCCAACAAAATGTCTCCATGTGTAAAGATACTTGATGTATAAATCTGACAATCTGAATTTGATCCCTGGAACTCATGTAAAGGCAGAAGGAGAGAACTGATGCTACAAAGTTGTCCTCTTTCCTCCACATATGTGTTGTGGCACATGCCATCTATCTCTCCCCCACACCCCACAATAATGAAAAAAGAACCACGGCTGCATGAAGTTTGTGAAAACGTGTGGGAATTATGAGTGTATACACAGTCCTAGCAGGGATTGATGCTTCCCAGATAACAATTATTAAAGTGCTGAAAACCCCTAAAATATTACAAAGCACTGACTGAGAAAAATCTAGTCTAGAGACTTTTTAAAAACAGAAGCATCATTTATAAAATACTTTGTAATGTAAACTGCTAAGCAGCTCTGTTATGTTTAGTATGTGATCATATATCTAATGTCAAATACCACTGATTCTGTGTTTCACCATTATGTAATGTGCCCCTAACAAAAGAGAAATGACTCTAATTAATCATTGCCATATGAATTGGTTATTTTTTTCATTGCTGTAACCAAAAACCTGAAAAGCAACTTAGGGTTGCATTTATTTTGACTCAAAATTTAAGAAGGATACAGTCTATCATGACAGGGAACACATGCCAACAGTCTATCATGACAGGGAACACATGCCAACAGTCTATCATGACAGGGAACACATGCCAGCAGGCGTATGAGGTGGATGGTTACGTTGCATCTGGAACCAGGAAGCAGAGAGCTGACAGGGTAGTACAAGGCAAACCTGAAGCCACACTCTCAACATCCCACCTCCTCCAGAGAGGCTCTATCTTTTAAAGGTTTCTCAACCTCCAAAATAGCACTAGCAGCTGGAGAACAAGTTTTCAAACACAAGAACTTATGTGCGATATTCATATTCAAACCACAAAAACGTGCCAATTATTATAAAATGAAATTTAATTTTAAGGATGCTTAAAAATTTTAAATCACATGCATTGAAGTCAATGAAATGTATTATTCAACTCTGGGAATTCTCTGTGACTAGAACTTTTTAGGGACACAGATTGTTCAGAAAGAATATAGATTGTTATATATCTCAGTTATTTTTCAGTGCAGTGTTATTAATATGAATGATGTATAGTCAAGGTAAAAACAGATCTCTAATTCTTTTATTATTAAAGATTTGTTTTTATTCTTATTTATGTATATGTGTCTGTGTGTATATGCCATTTGTGTGCAGGTGTTCACAGATGCCAAAAGAGGGAGTCAGATCCCCTGAAGCTACCTGATATAAGTGCTGGGACTCAAACTTGTGTCTTCTGGAAGAGTAACAAGTACTCTTAACTGCTGAGCCGCTTCTCCAGCTCTCAGAATTCTAACTCTGTGCAGGAAATAAAAAAGCAGAAACAGATGCCATCTCCCCAGGCTTGTTGTGTCTGCCTGCCTAGGATCATCACAGCTAAGCTTGTTGATTGTCAGGCTCTGCAAAGAGGGAGCAGGGAGTCACAGGGCCCTCTCAACCAACCAGTCAGCCCTAGTTGTATGAGGGGAGTCTCTCTCTCTCTCTCTCTCTCTCTCTCTCTCTCTCTCTCTCTCTCTCCCATTTTGTGGAGAAATCACTATCCATGCTTGGATGAAGACTTTCCAGTGTGGCACCCACACCTTCTGCAAGTAAACTCTTGTCCATTGCTCTGTAAGTATGCCCAATAAACTCACTGTTTTCCCAGACTGCAGTTTGGTGAAATCAGACCTCGGTTTGTTGTTGGGACCAAGGGAAGAAGGGGCAGACATTGTTTATGTCTCCCAGAAGGAATTTTAGCCACATATATACATAAATGGTTTTATATATCTATAAAAATCTAGGATCCATAAACAAGAGAAAATATGATATTTGTCATCTGAGTTTGGCTTATTTCACTTGATATTATAATATCTAGTTTTGTCTATTTTCCACCAAATGATATGATTTCATTCTTTATAGCTGAATAAAAGTCCGTTTTGTATCTATACACATTGTATTTTTCCACTCATTTACTGGTAGACATTTAGGTTGATTCCAGAATTTAGCTATGTGAACAGTGCTGCCATAGACATGAATGTACAGGCATCTCTGTGATGCTGCCTTAGAGTCCTTTGGGGTATATACCCAGAAAGGTATAAATGGGTTGAATAGTAGTTTTTGAGGAACTTTCATACTGATTTCCACAGTAGCCTAATTTACATTCCCACCAGCAGTGTATGAGACTTGCCTTTGCCCCTCATCCTTGCCACCAAGCGTTCCTTTGTTTTCTTTATGAAAGCCAATCTGACAGGGGTAAAATGGGATCCCAATGTAGTTTTAATTTGCACTTCTTTGATGGTTTAAAGATGTTGAACATTTTGTCATATATTTCTTGCCCATTTGTACTTCATTATTTTGAGAATGTCAGTTCAGTTCATGGGCCCATTTATTGATAGGGTTGTTTAGGGGTTTTTTGGTATTTTATATTTTTTCCTCTGTTAAATGCACAGCTAGCAGACTTCCTCCTGTCTTGTAGGCTGTCTCTTCTATTATCTCCTTCACTGTGCAGAAGCTTTCTTTTTTCTTTTTTCTTTATTTTTCATTTTTTCCCAAAACTCAGAAAATACTTTTCGTCACAGTTATCAGACTGGGGCATACAGAAGTTTTTCACTTAATGTGATCTCATTTGTCCATTCTTAATATTATTTCCTGGGCCATCAGAGTCATTCTGAGAAAGTTCTTGTCTCTGCATATATAATTTTTATTCTTTGAGAATTTCATACATGCATAGAATGAATTTTGATCATATTCACCTTCCCCAACTCCTCTTGGATCCCCCTGCTGTATCTTAAAGCATTTTCCAAGTTTTCTTCAAACAGTTTCAGAATTTCAGGTCTTTCGTTAAGTTCTTTGATCCACTTTGAATTGATTCTTTTATAAAGTAAGAGATAGGGATTGAGTTTTCCCACAACCATTTGTTGGAGAGGCTGTCTTTTTTCCAAAGTATTTTTTTTTTTGGTATCTTCATTTTAAAAAGACTGTCTAAGTTGGATGTGGAGGTACATGCCTTTATTCTAGCACTTGGGAAGCAGAAGCAGGTAGATCTTTGAGAGATTCAGGCCAGCCTGGTCTACACAGTGAGTTCCAGGCCAGTTGGGACTACAGGGAGACCCTGTCTCAAAAACCAAACAAACAAAAATAGTCAGCTGTCTGTAACCATGTGGGTCTAATTTTTGGGTCCTATATTTTGTTCCATTGATCTATGTGTCAGTTTTTATGCAGATGCCATACTGTTCTTATAATATGGCTTTGTAGTATAATCTGAAATCAAGTATTTTGAGGCCTCCAGTATCGCTCTTTTGCTCATGACTGCTTGGGCTATTTTGTACTTCCATATGAATTTTAGTAGCTTTCCTTCTATATCTGTGAAGGACGCTCTTGGGAATTTGATAAGGATTGCACTGAATTTGTAGTATGGTAACACAGTCATTTCACTATAATAATTCTGCACTTCATTGATCTGGTGTCTTCCTAAGTTTGTTTGCTTGTTTATTGCTTACAATGCTTTTTTGAGACATAACCCTATCATGAGGTAGGAGCGAAGATGGAGATAATTGGGATCCTAAAAAAATACTCATTTTATCAAGAAACAAACAAAAACAGAAAAAGAGAGGGAAATAGCATAAGATGCAGTGAAAACCAATAAAGAGAAGGCAGATTGAGGTTCTTAAATATAGCACACAGTACACATTACTTTTTTATCCAAAATGACAAACTCTGCATTTAAATGCAGCATTCAGGCTATTAGAGGCAATTGTCACTACATATTTTTTTAAGCTATTGTGAATGAGATTGTTCTCCTGATTTCTTTCTCAGCACATTTATTATTGGTATATAGAAAAGCTACTGATTTTTTAATGTTGATTTTGTATCCTGCCGTCTTACTTAAAGTGTTTATTGGCTTTAAGAGTTTTCTAGTGGAATCTCTAGGGTTTCATGTACAGGATAATATCATCAACAAATAGGGATATTTTCACTTCTTAATTTTTTATAAAGCTTTATTTTATTTTCAATTGTGTATATGTACATGCCCATGTGTAGGTATGTGTATATGTGAGTGTAGGTACCCATGTGGATGGTGTTGGGTCCATGGAGCTGGAGTTACAGGCCATTGTGAACCATCTGAAATGAGCGAACTTGGGTGCTCTGCAAGAGCAGTATGTACTCTTAAGCACTGAGCTGTCGCTTCCTTCCCTATTTGAATCTTTTTGGTTTATTTCTCTTGTTTAGAAAGGACTAGCTAAGACTTCAAGGACAACATTGAATAAGGGTGGCGAAAGTGGACACTTTTGTATCATTCCTGATCTTAATGAAAATGATGTTTTAACTATTTCCCATTTAGTATCATGGTGGCTCTGGGTTTGTATTTAGCCTTTATCATGTTGAGGCTTGATGAACTTGTGCCCCTCCTTTCTCCAAGGCTTTTATCATGCAAACTAATCTTTTTGTAGTATTAATAGTCAAAGTATTTTAAAGTCATACACTAGCAACTTGAGAGAGACTCTATCCACTACCTATAACCTCTTGAATTAAGAGGACAGAATTATTAAGACTCCCACAAGAGCTTTTTGGTAATGTTCACTAGCAGGTTTTACTAGTGGAATAAAATTATAATGGTTTATTAAAATTCCACCAAAAGCTTTACATACTTTGCAAATAGAAAATCCTGTCAATTTTTATAGATAAAAATATTGTAAAGAATAACAAAAAATGTACAACTAAGAAGATGTTGGAAATCTTTGATTAAATCTTTATTTTACTGTCTTTACAAAAGTCTTCTAGAGTAAATAAAATTCAAAACTATCCTTTCCATGGTATAAAAGACATTTCCTTTCTCATCCTTTGTAATATGATTATTAGGAAGAAATTAATGATTATATCATTACTTATTGAATAAAACTGATTAAAATGTACTCAATTATTAGCATGGTTAAATAAACTGACTATAAAATCAATATCTGTTATGATTTAGGTAGGAAGTGTTGCCCCAAAAGTTTGTGTGTGAAAGGCTTGGTCTCCAGTTGGTGGTGCTATTGACATGTGATTGAATCATGAAGGTGCTAACTTCATCGATAAATTAACCCATTGGTAAGTTAATACTAAATAGGCTATTAGGAGGCAGGGCCCATAAGGCCTAGGTGGAGGAAGTAAGCTAATAAGGGCATGCTTTTGAAGGATCTATTTGTCATAGATCCTCCTCCCTTCCTCCCTCCCTCCCTCCTTCCCTCCCTCCCCCCCCCCCCCCCCCCTCCCTCTCTCCCCCCCCCCACCCCCACGTCTCCCCCCTCCCTGCCTCACATCCTATAAAACACAGTTTAAATCCTTGTTATTTTCTTTCCCTCCCTCCCTCCCTCCCTCCCTCCCTCAAGTCTTCCCACCCTCCATTCTCCATTCCCCCCTGGCTGCCATGGAGCATAGGGTGAGCATCTTTCTTCTACCCTGCTTTTCCACTTTAAAGCTTGCCACAAGTCTGAAAGTAATGGAACCATACAGCCATGGTCTGAAACTTGTGAAACTAAGATACTATGTCATAGTGACACCCCTCCCACCCCCACAATGGACTAATACCTTTCTTATACAAATTCTAATGACAATAAGAACTTGTTAATTAGGGGCTGGAGAGATGGCTCAGAAGTTAAGAGCACTGGCTGCTCTTGTACAGGGCTGGAGTTTGGTTCCCAGTAATTGTTTATAACTCCAGATTCAGGGCATCTGATGCCCTCTTCTGGTCTCCATGGGCATTGCATGCTTTTGGTGCACTTAAATGCATGTAGACAAAACACTCGTGCACATAAAATAAATTTTAAAAATTTAAGGAAGAATCCTCTTAGTAGAACAAATTTTAGTAAATGTATAAATAACCTATATGATTGAAATGTCTAAAATGTTAATAATGAGAGGATAATACTGAAGTTTTAGACTTGCAACACCTACAAGTGAAAAGAAAAAATACTGAATTTATCTTCTCAAAAATCAATTAGATTCAAATAAAAATGAAAATACTAAAATATATCTAAATTAATTTGGGGCATGGTGAGATGACTCAGAAGGTCAAGGTACTTGCCACCACTAACTGATGACCCAAAGTTCATTACACAGTGGAAGGACAGAACTGACTCGCCCAAGTTGTTTTTGGACCTTCAGATGACTGCTGTGGTACATGTGCAACCATACATGTATACACACACACACACACACACACACACACACAAACACAAACGCACACATGCACACACACGCAAATGTAAATAAATATCTGTTAGAAAAAAATCTAAAATTCCTTATATACTTTTTTTGAGTAAAAAGATTAACTTATATGAATTTTCTCACCAGGATTAAAAATCTATGCAAAGTTTACTCAACAAAAGTAAATTAAAGAGTCATTTGTGTATGAAAAGACTAATAAATCAGTGAGACATACCCCTCCTGGGAGCAAAGACAAGCAGTGGAGAGAATTTTGCTTATGATACACAGTTTCAAATTGGTAGACTAAAAATGAATTATTGTGTTAAAGGTATTGAAATAACCAGCTATTTATTCAACGCACAATTAGTGAAGAAAAATATTGATCAATTTACATACATTTATAATGTGTAATTGCTAAAATTAGCATATTATGGATGAAAGACAAATAATGAGTTAAAAACTGTTGGAGGATATACTTGGAATCCAAGTTTAAGCATAATTATTTAAGAATTGAGGTATAGGGACTGGAGAGATGGCTCCCCAGTTAAGAGCACTGGCTGCTTTTGTAGAGGAGCCAGATTTGGTTTCCAGCACCCACATGGCGGCTAACAACTATCTGCAATTCCAGTTCCACAGGATTCAATACTCTTTTCTGGCTTCTGTGGGCAATACATATATGCAGGGAAAATACTTGTACACATAAAAATAAGTTAAGAAATATTTTTTTAAAAAATAAATGAAGCCTGTTCTGGCGTGGTGGTGCACGCCTTTAATCCCAGCACTCAGGAGGCAGAAGCAGGCAGATCTCTGTAAGTTCAAGGCCAGCCTGATCTACATAGTGAGTTCCAGGACAGCTGGGGCTACAGGGAGGCCCTGTCTCAAAAAGACCAAAAAAATAAAAATTAAAATTAAAAATAAATGAGGCATATTGCTAATGGGCTATTACAATTGTAGTAGTTGTAAAACTTGGTACTTAAAACTTACTATCCTTGAGGTCATAGAACCTATGTCTGTCATATCCCTAGACAAATGTAATTTCTCACTGTATGCTAAATATGGATCCTTATATTTACAGATAGGTATACCTGTCACCACTCAACAAAGAAGCTTCTTTTTGCAACAGATGGAGACTGTTACAGAGTTCCACAAATGGTCACACACAGAACAAATGTCTGAGGGATTCCTAGCCCTAAGTGACACATCTAAAATGCTGTTTCTACACTTAAGGTTCATGGAACATAGCAGACAGGGGATAGAGTATTAATGCGTCTCTAAACTCTCACCAGTGAAACTGCCTCATGTAACGGAGGGTAATGCACTCAACGGGCCATAACTGGACAAAGGGTAGAAAATAAGAGACTGCAGACTGCATGTGCCTGGATAGAAGTTGTATATTAAACCTCACCCATGCAGGGCTAAGGGATGATAGAGG